CATGCCGAACCCATGTGCTCTGCCAGATGGGCCTCGAGTTCCCTTGGAAATGTGTCGCGGCTCCGGACGCTGGCTCGTCGCCAGCCCAGCCGCGCTGGGGAGCGGTGTGGTGGAGGTGGTGTGGCTGAGGCAGACGTGCTGCGGAGGGGAGCTGCTGGTGCTACCCAAGCCCTCTCCAGCCCTGGAGTAAGGAAATGTGTTTGGCAGCGCTCCAGCCTGGAGGTTTTGGGGTTACCGAGGAGAGGTGTGAACGTGCGCGCGCTCTCTGCCTTTACAGCACCTTGCGCGGGATTAAGTGACAAGTTTTACCTGCTGGGAACGGGCTCCAGGTTGAACTTCATGGGCAGAGCAGCTCCCTGGGTCCTGCCCTGGAGGGCTGGAGTGTGCGGGTGGTGCCGCTGGGAGCTGTCGGGCGATGGATCTGGGCCAGGAGCTGCTGGGAGCGCTGCGTCGGTGAAGCACATATGCCGGGATGCAAACATGTATGCGAAAGAGATCCTGGCTGTCTAAATAATGTGAAATATTGACTAGCTCTCGCAGATGGTGCTCCACTTGCAGCTTCGGGGACTGAACTTCTCTGTCTCCCCTTGGGTTTTGCCATGATGTTGTTTCAATCCAGTTGGATGCTGGACTCTTGGCAGGCTTGTTGCCTGGTCGCTTTCAGTGGGATTGTTGAATTCTGGGGAAGCTGGTTGCTAACGGGGCCTGAGGGGGAGGGAGGAGGGTTGCAGAGGGCTTGACTGGCTCATTCAGACTCTCCTGATGGCTTTTATTCGCTTTTTAAATGATGGCACCAACTGGGATGCTGGTTCTCACAGAGCGTTGAGGTTTGTAGTAGTGTGCGGGTGCCGTTTGGTGGCACTGTTGGAGAGGAATTGCTGCCTGTAGCCAAGAGGTTGTGTTAATACCACCGTAACCGTGATTGCATTCACTGATGAAATGCTGCTGGAGATTATGTGCATGAGATCGTTGCTGGGCGGCCTACTCTTGGAGGAGGCTCCAGTGTTCAGGACATAATCTGGACTGCTGGTAGCAGGGTCTTGGGGACATGCTGCTTTTGTATTAGCTCATGGATGGGTGGCAGGTTTTCTGCCTTCCTCCAGGGTAAGATGCTGGTGTTGGATACATGGAGCTGCTTTGTGTGAGCTGCGGTGGGGGGTGCTCATGCTTTGCCCAGAGCCTGGTGCTGGGCAGCCATATCAAGGGGCAGTCTGTGTTGGCAGAGCTGTGCTGGCAGGAGGGTTTTATCGCTCTTTGGGAAGCATGTTGGGGAGTGCCCTCTCCCTCAGGTCGCTGTGCTTGTGATAAAACAGCTTATCAGCCAGGTGGTTTGGTCACTTAGCCTGCAGGGTTACGGCTGTTACTAGGAAAGCGGCCTGCTCGGGTTGCAGCTCATCCAACTGCTGGGTTGAGAGCCCTGCAGAGGCTCAGGGGGCAGGCAGGGGGACCCGCAGCAGGGGTTAGTACCTGAAATAGGGGTCGCGGGCAGGATCCCCACCGTGGGCTGTGTGTGGTGTGCTGCGTCGCCCGCGTCCTCGCAGCCGCAGCTCCTGGCGCGCAAGGGACTGCCAGCCACAACAGTCTGTGCTCCTGCGGGGCTGGTTCCAAGGCAGCGTGCTGCTTGGGCTGAAACATGTTTCCCTCTTCTGTTTCCCGTTTTCTGCAGGCTTTTCCCATCTGCCTAACGGGCTCTACCCGTCATACATTCCCTTGAGCCACCTTGAGCCCCCCAGTGCCGGCAGTCCTCTCCTGGCCCAGCTGGGTCAGCACAGCCTCTTCGAGTCACAGAAAGGTGAGTCTGGGTCCCCATGTGCCCTTCCCTTTGGTCACCCCTGAGTGCTCGCCCTGTCCTAGAGTCTTTCCTGCTTGCTGGAGCTGATGGATGCCAGCATGTTGAGGGAGAAAAGCAGGAGCCCCCTTGGGTTATCATCCAGGATTGTCCTAGCAATACCAAGGTCTTGGATGTGGCTGTGCTGTAGGGATCCTGGCCAGGTCCCTCCTTGAAGCCCCTGCATCACGAGGCTCAGCATGCATTGGAGACAGGGCTGCCCTGCATCCCAGCTGGGCCATGTGGAGGTACCTGCCTGGTCTCCCCTGCCCTGGCCATGTCTGAGACATCCTTGAAACTTGTTACCTCCCGGTTTGCCAGCTCTTGTCTGTCTCTGTGTAGGACTGAAGGGGTTGAAGGGCTTTGGTAATTTTGTTTGCTTTTGCTCTGCAGATGGTTTCTACCTGTCCAGCCACGCAGGCCAGTCCGCTTTGCACCCACAGCCTCCACTCTCGAGGACCTCGGGCAACCACACATCGAGCACTTTGCTCCGGGAGAAGGACCTTGGGCAGCTTCACAAGAGCTCGAAAGAAAGTTTGAAAGACCCTGGTGGGAAGGAGCGGGCATGCCGGAGTGATCTGTCCCTGCCCTTTGCCAAGAAGGAGGGCAAGCCAAAGGAGGAGCCCCGGCCCCGCAGTGTGGTAGACCTCACACAGGACACCAAGCCTGACAGCGACCGGAAAGTGAGTGTGGTGGAGAAGGCAGGGAAGGTTGGTGAGCGTCTCTCACCATTCGTGGCTGAGCACATGCCAAATCGGGCCATGGGTGGTGGGGAACCCAAATCCAAGAACCCGCTGCAGAGCTCTTCCCTTAGCAACTGCAACGGTGGCGGGGACCCCATGCTGAAGGTCCTGGGTGCTGAGCAGGAACGCTGTGCTAAGGATCCTGCTCGGCACGATGAGAACATGAGGCCTTCTGCACATGCCCACGCTGAGCGGCTGAAGCGGGGGGAGCCCCTCCTGCCCTCCGTGGGTGCTT